TAGCATTATTGAAATTCATTGTAATTGAACAGTTTGCATGTTTTATTAAATTATTACATTTATTTTAAAAAATCTATTTTTAAAATAGATTGCTTTAGCTACACAAAGTCCAATTTAAATACTCCTTTAGCTTTTAAAAAGAACTTTAAAAAGAGACAAACTTTTCATTACAAGTATGAATTAAACAGAAAAGTCTCACCATATTTTACCATAATATGATGGTTAATTCTTCTTTAAACTGAACAATTAAAACCATAAATCTCCCAGGCTGTCAATTCCCACCTGAAGATTGAAGCTTCTTGGTGCATTACAGCTCCATCTACTGGAAAAGGAAATGCATGACCTCTGTTCGGATTCCAGAGCTGCAAATTCACCTCTTCTGTCGTTTGTTTGCAAGTTTCTGTTTATCATCTTTGCAGTCATGGCTTCTTTCTGTGTCTTCTTTCTTGTGGTTCTCTCCTGTTGTTTCATTTGCATTGCCCTGCTACCTTTGGGGCTGTCAGGACAGAGACGATGAGGTCGGATCATGTATGGCATGCCTTTGGTGACATCCAGGTGTTATTAATCCCCCCTCCTCATGCTTTACGTGTTCCTGTAGAGCAGATTTCTCTAACTGTAGCTTCCCTCGGAGGCCTGTAGGTAAATGAAAAGGCAGGGCTCCGATCATAAATCTAGACAGGGGGATGCTGTGTGATTAGATTGGGCCTCACTGATGAAACGGCTTCATTCCTGCTGGAAAACAAATCATTTTGTTTTTTCCACACCTCCTTCCTCCTCCAGCTCCACTTCATTACCGCTGACTCACCACCATTAGCCCCCCGCTCTTCCCTCTGCCTTCACCTCTGCAGTTAACGTTTTCTTCTGAGTCATCTGTCCCCATTGTTTCTCAGCCTTTCACATCCACCCCACTCTTCCTTTTGTTTTTACAGATACTCTACCCTGCTCTCTTTACGCTTCACTGTATCCTAGCTCTTCATTTGGTACTAGATATGGGGTTAGATTTGGTTTAGGTTTGGTTTAGCGCCATCATAGAAATCAACATTTTTTTGGCATGCACTAAAGGTTTTCTGTTTGAATTTTCAGGAGCATGACACTTGCCTGCCCCCTAATGGAGACTACAGTGGCAGCAGCGTGGTCCTGGTTAACCCTTTCTGCCAGGAGACCCTCTTCATCAACAGAGACAAAGCCTCTGCCATGTAGTGACGGTTCCTGCTCCTCCTGCTGCGGCCGTCTATTTTATACACTGGATTAAATATTCAGAAACTTTTAACAACACAAAGAGCAACCCGAACGAAAAGCGACACTAAAACAGATGTTATTTACGAGGATGCACCTGCATATTTTTCTGATGTACATTTTCTACAAGAAGGCTTAATTGTGATAAAGGTTTCTATTGTCTTTATATAATACAGAGTATATGTGAGTTTTGTCGCATTACAGTGGCTTAATAGTAATTGCACTGTGGATGTTTGCCACATAAAATCTGCTTTAGAAGAAAAAGGTGTGCTATGAAACCTTTAAAGCTGTTATTTGTATTTTTTTTCTTTGAAAATTAATTCCAAAATACAAAAGCCTGCTGAACTTGAACATAGCAACTACTTATTTAAAGAGGAAAACAGAGATGAAAAATCAGGGCCTGTGTTTATCAACTCTTCAGAAAATACAGATCCAATCAGAAGTTTACATTATTCATCATCAACAAAAATGTCTTATTAGTTGAGGCTTTTAATTATTTACTTTAGTGGTTTGTTTTCCAGGCTGAAGTGATTATTCAAAATATAACTGCAATTATTTTTTAAAAGAAGTATTGGGTGGCTAATTATTGTGAATTTGATTAAATTGCAAACATGGTTTCACTTCCAAAAGTATTTGTCTAAATGTCCCTTAGCAAGTTTAACCCATACTGTATTGCTTTTATAGCAATTAATAAGGTTTGGACATTAATAAGGTTTATTGTTTACAAGACAATAATCACAAACATGCCTTAAAGAATAGATCTAATGTGAATAATTCAAGCTTCTGGTTCAGCACTGACCTCAAACCAAATAAAAACTTTAACCAATACTCAAAAATTGTCTTATAATTAACCAATTTAAATTAATTCTACACATGCTATCAAGAAACTGAGCCTGATTTCTTGTCAGAATTATCCCAAGATTAAGTTTAGGTTGTTTACTGGAGGTAAAAAGTAAAAAGGCCTCATCCTTAGAGGCAACTTTTAAATTCAACTGATGCTTCAACTAATTCCACACAGGAAATGCCTTTAGAGAAAGTTTGCTCATAAAAACTACTTTGTTTGAATAAAATGAAAATACTACACAATACACATCATCTATATGGTAAACATAATGCCCTTCATCTTGACATTTTCTATAAAAATGTTTCAACAATTAGTACATTTAACATCTTAATGTTATTAAAATGTTTAGGTATTTATACATGGACCTGATAAGGCAGTTTGGTAAACGCAGGCCCAGATTCTACTGACTGATTTGACCAGAATATTTAAGAGTCTTTGGATTTTAGAGAATTCAATTGTTCTAAAATGACTTTTCCTCTGATGCGTCACCAGCTTTTCTGAGGAGGGACAATGTAGATGTCTTAATGTTGGCTCTTTATACCTGTTTGGGTGTGATGGAGCGAAATTAACAGCTTGTGTACTGAATGAGCATATCAGCGTGACCAGATGAATTGTACCCTGTTTACCAAATATCCTGGTTACTGAAGGCTCATCATGACGTTGGGTCTTTGTTTGCTCAGTTTGGTCCGTTTGTCCCTACGTCTGCCTCTGAATGTGTGTCTGTCTCTTGTCTATGTTGTGGAGAGAGCTTTTCAACACTGTAGGAAACAAAATAGCTCATCCTCTCTGCTGTAGCCGTCTCCATTAATGTGTTTGTTGAAGTGTTGAATGATTGTGAATCACATAAAAATACAGTGAGGCAAACAGTGTGTGCTGAATATTTTCTGTAAGAGCTGGTTCTACTGAATAGTTTGTGGTCCCGCTGTCATCTGTTTCACTTTTGCATTGCTGCAGTTTAAATCAATAATCAATGCTGGCTGCTGCCTCTGTTGTTGCTAAAGATTTTATTTTGTATTTTCGCGTTACAAGGCATCAGTTGTGAAATCACCAGGTCGAAAGGTGGTGCTGAACAATACAACTATACATGAAAATATCTCCTGCATCAGATGCTCACAGCTGGGCTTGTTTTGCACGCTCAAAATGTGAATATTTTAACAAAACGTTCAGTGGCACGGTGGAGCAGTGTTTAAACATAATGTTATTTTTTGTACTGTAGTATACACTGTACTTTTTACTGCTGAGCAATAAAACAGAAGAAAAACACCCAAATGACTGAATTTGCCTCATTTATTATTTTTCGAGCGTTTTGATTACCAGATATTGTGGTTTACAAAAGCACTGAGCTTTTTTATTGCATTTCATTCAAACATACAGTTTTAATTGACTATAGGGGGTAAGAAATGTGAAACGCTGAGCATTATGTTACTTCCATTTAATGAAATTTGTAAAATAACATCTTCCTCCCAAAGAATTTAAGAGTTTGTGGTTGCAACATTACAAAATGCGGAAAAAATATAGGGAAAACATGAAACCTGTTATATTTTTAAAATATTTCTAATTTAACTATACTGTGAGTCCACAAACATCACACACACACACACACACACACATCTTGTGTGTGAGCAAGCTTTAATGACTATAATTAAAGCTTGTGTGTTAAATTTGTTAAATCTAAGTGGTGACCTTTTGGACAGGGAAAGCAATTCGGTCCAAGTAGTCATGCCGACTGCAGCACATTTATAGATGGAGTGAGCTGGAATTTTCCTTTTGTGAACCACAGCTGCGTTTGTGTAAAACCCACTCATGACTCCTATAATGTGATGTCAGGCAAAGCTTCAGTGTTACAGCAGGAGAGGCAACTTTGACATGTGTGTTACTTTCATATTTGTGGGAATACCTCGGGCCTGCAAACAGAAAGCAGCTGTTACTTTTAGAACCACATTTAATCCTAATAGTACTAAATGCAGTAAAAGGAGATTGGTTCTCTTACTAAAAATAGATCACGTTGCATTATTCTGACTTCTTTCTGTAAGGAAGAAGTCATTACTCCAAAAGCAACATGAAACACCATATTCCAGATTGATAAAGCATCTAGTAATGAAGAATATGATTGTTAGTGATACGTCATGCGGTCTATT